TGTGGTGATCAGGGGGGGGGGGGGGTGCTCGCTCGCCCCTCTTTTCTGCCATGCCAGGCCTGTGCTCGGATCAAGGGTCTGGTTGGGAATTTTAGGGGGGATCCCACATCTTTTTTTTCCCATCTTTGGTGGTGGGGTTCCTTTGAGGGGGCACCCCGCGCACTTCTTTTTAAATTTGTAGCACAAGGGTTGATAGGAGGTATTTGTATTCCTTGATGTTATATGTTTTATATATGCTTTCATGCATATCCATTGATTTTAGTCATTTGTTTAATACATTTATACTTTTTTATATACCTCTATGAGACTGAAGTTTATTGGATGTGTCCCTTCTGGAGCCATTTAAAAACCCCATCTTTTTTCATCCCTTCTCTTTCTTGTTTTTAAATTTGTAACTAGGGGTCCCTTTTAAAATTCCTACCAGACCTTATGGGTCTGGTATGACTTTTGGGTGGAACCCCACACATTTTCTTTTTTTAATGGGGTCCCTCCTAACATTCCGTTCAGATCTAAAGAGTCTGGTATTGTTTGGGAGAGGGAACTGCACACTTTTCTTTTTTGTTTCTTTTTAAATGTCATTTTTTTCTTTACAAATGTAATTGTTGCTGCAGCAGGTTCTCTAGTTCTCTACATCGTACGGATGTGCCACTTTACATGCATTTTAAGGGGACCCCCCAGGCACAATATTTAAAGGAATTTTTAATTTGTATTGTTTCACTTTAAGTGATGTTAAAATCACTACTCCTTTAAAACCAGTATTTTTTTAAGTGTTTCTTTCATTTATTCCTGTCCCCCAGGGCAGTACCCAGATCCCCATACACTTTTTATGGCCAATAACTTGAATATAAGCCTTCAAATAGGGGACTATTGATTTTCTAAGTTCTAGCCCCATAGACTTGCATTGAGTTAGAGTTCAAATTCAAACTTTTTTTATGTTCGAACACGGGGGTGTTCGGCCCATCACTAAAGACTCCACAGACGTTTGACCATCAAGTGTATGAGTTGATTCATGCTTTCACGTTATATTAATTCTCAGTTTCACATTCCATTTGGAATTCTGGTTATCATTTAATTAACCTTTCCAGAAAACTATTGATTGTTCCATTGTGTGCAGCATGTTCTCCAGAGAGCATGATTAAGGGCTTGTTTGGACACAAGACAGCTGAGAACTTTGACTTAGGTATTGCCAAAATCACAACTGACATGAATAAATATAGGCAATACTTTGTAGGATCCTGAGTGAGCATTGTATGACCGTGATAAGTGTTGTCACCACGCTTTCTAGGTTTTCATTACCATGGATTATTTCCACATTTTAATCATCTTTTTTTCATTTAGCTTTTTTCACATTTACTATGGGGAACTATGGGGTAAGTGTTTTTTCCCATAGTTCTCATAAGGGTCAGGGGAGGACATAAACTAGTGTCCCCCCGTGACCCAAAGCTCAGTATACCGCAAGCTACAGCTCCCGGTGTACTGAGACCGCCGCAGCCGGAACGGATCCCGACAATACTGTCGAGATCCACCCAGCTGCGTGATTGACAGCTGGCTCTGCCTATCTAGAGGCAGAGCCAGCTGCACCCGCCCCTCCCCCGTCCGTTTCGCCAGTCAGCGCTGGAGGATCCCTGCAGGAAGCCGTGAGTGACCGCCATGACTCTCTGCAGACACATGATCGAGAAGTGAGCGAGCGACAGTATGTGTTCGCTCACTTCCCGATCTATAGATCCATTTCAGTTTCATTGTCACACGTCGGCTCGAACCATGAGGATGAGTGATTTTCACTCACCTCATAGTTCTCCTTTAACTTTTTTAATTCCCTGAAGTTTCCGAAAATGTACCACTTATGTATTATGTTATCAGCTCTTGCATCATTCTGAAAGTAACAGGTAATTCTCAAAGGGCATTTTAAGGGTTTTTGTTCCTTGCAATTTTGTTAGCTTCTGCTTGTTGGCAATGGTGAGTTTCCAAGTGGTGTCTATGAAGGAAAAGCTAGGTCCCAGCTACAACCGCTGCAACTCTGGTAGTTCTCATGACAATGCCAAGTATCGGCACTGGTTTCTGAACTGGTATCTGGACATCCCTAAAAAGAGGCTTTTAATAGTTGAAGTGTATCTAACTCCAAGAACACAAATGTAATATATTGGATCTTACTAGTCCGTAGACGCGGGATTGCATTAGTTTTTTTTTTTTTTTCAGGCTTCTTTTCCTATATTTTCCCTTTGTGACAAACTTCCTGTTCTTGGGTGACTCACTCACTGCACTGTATCTAGGAAGTTTTCCAAGACTACAGAAAACCTTCCTGTTTTCTCTTCCTCATCACATAGGGGCAGTGGTGTCACCAGGGAGGTGCAGCCCGCACTGGGTGACAATGTCAGAGGGGGTGACTGTCATAGAGCACTGTCATTGGGCACTTTGTCATAGACCGAGAGCCAAACAGCTGCACGATAGAGGAGGGGACCTGGTGGCAACCTTATCCCACCGGATGAAGTCCCCTCCTCTCTCTGCCGGCATCCATCACCGAAATTATCAGTTAAGTGCACATGTGTGTGATGATGTCAGGCAATTGGAAACTAAAATATCAAGCATCCATACATCTCGAGCGAGTGACCGTCCGGTTTAAGGAGTTAAAGTAGCCGTGAGTAAAACCTACTTGAGTTCCTTTTTTACACACAGAGGGTAAGCACCCTGCTCGCCAAGTGTGATTATAACTCAGCGGCACACAATATATTAACTCACCGGGCCTATCCTCATGCTCTTTTGTTACAAAGTAAGATAACAAGTATCAATTGCAGCGACACTCATTGTATCCGCAGAAGGCGTCCATAGGATTCAAGTCAAAGGTTCATATTGACTTTACCTCAACTAAACGATATCTCTAAGACACTTTACGGAAAAAGAGAAACATACTAAGAAAGTTTGACAGGAAATTCCCAGGCATTCGACATATACTATATTGCACCCCTTCACTTTAGTTCTACGCTGCACCTTCATAATTGAGGGCCACCTGAAGATTTAGAGTACATTGATCAGCTGGCTCCGTTTGTGTGTGAGTGTTGATTTGTACGAATGGATTGTTGCAATGATCCTTTTTAAGGGTGTGGGAATAGTGGTTTTCTGAATTGTGCAGTCTGTTTATATGGAAAATTGTTTTATTTCGTAAACTAATAAATGTAATCTTTTATACCGCAATTTCACTCTCCGACCCCGTTCTTTAGCTGCACTCTGTTCAGTAAACCTCCCTTGGTTTGAACAAATTACCTTTATTTATGTTCCAAAATAGCAGCAAGGGGTTGTTCTTCTTGCCTAGCAAGTGAGAGTTATCAAGAAGAGTTGGGGAACTCTTAATAAGAAAGGGGTGAGGATCTCTGTGTACATCAATCTATTTGTTCCAATAGAGCATTCCCCTTTTATTGAAAACATATAGCCCATCCTTTCATTGTTTGAGATCTGGCCCACTTTAATTATTTTACTAGTTAGAGGGGTCTGTGATAATGTGAGTCTGTCATCTTTTTCCTTCCCATTCCCTTGTGAATCACTGACCTTGAACATGCATCAGGTATTGGAATAATATGATCAAGGAGAAGCTGGGGGAGAAGCACGGTTGCTGATAATGTCCACCATGGGTAAATGCCAAACGTCTGCTAGATTTTCCTATATGCTGTTGGAAAAGTGTCATGAGAATCCCCAGGTGTCACCACATGATAATAACAGATATTTGGTGGTATAAAAGTCTCCTGTGCATCTCAGAAAATTCTAACTCTCTCACCATGAAGTGTCTTCTCCTCCTCTCATTCCTTGGCCTTGCTGGTATGTTCTAAACTGTAACCTTTACATTTTTTTAAATGACTCGATAATGCCATTATATACATTTAAAATTTTCTTGTAAATGCAGAATCGGGATTATGTAAACTGTTAGACATCTTCTTCCTAAAGCCCCATTCCAGGCAGCAGAAAAATATTACCTTTGTAGGGTGACCTCCCTGCACTGCAAGGCTTAAATCCTGTTAAGCCTACAGGTAGAGGAATAGGGTGAAATACATACCTTGTTCCTTGCTGTGAGACCGGTTCCTGGAAGAGTCTGTGAACAGCTAGTGAGAAAAATTGTCCTGCTGGCTTGCCCAAATTAGGCCCCGGACCCCCTTTTTCCCGAATGACTATTATCACACAATGGTGGTAAGAGTAGAGGGGAGCTGGCTAGCAGTAACATTTTGCAGAGTGGCTGCAAACAGACATCACTCACTGCAGCCTCTGCAGTGTTATATCCAGTGGCTGTAGAGGGGGGCAATGAAGTGAAGAAGCAACATGAGGTAAGGGGATACATACCATTACAAATATCTAATGTGTTTGCTGCTGTACTATATTAAGTACTATAAATACTATCAGGGTTATTCACAAAAGGGTGAAGGGTTTGGAGAAGACAGGAGAAGTGAACAATCTAGGACAACAGAGCTGAACCAGAAAGTGAGCTGATTCGGAGAATATTTCCAAATCAGTGATGTTGTTCTAGATTGTTCACTCCTCCGGCCCTCTCCAAACCCGTCACCCTTTTGTGAATAGCCCTGTATATTTCAACTTTAACACGCATTTAACCCATGCAGTGTGTGTTGGAGGGTGGGTTAAATATTCTCTGATAATATTTTCTAACTTTTATAAATTCTATTATTATTATTTTATTTTTTGTACAGCCTTTATATTGTGTAACCAAAATAGATTCCACATTTAAATGAGTGGATGTATGTAGGTCAGACTACAGTTAGTAAAAAAATAATAATTCTAAGATGAACAATCCTTTTTTGCTTAAATCTTTCTTTATTTAGGTTAAAAATGTATTCACCTTTTTTCTTTTTTTAGGATGAAATATTTGGCATTTGATAGTATATTTTTGATTCTACTTTTGTTTATTTTGTTTTTGTTTATGCTGTTGACCTAAATACAGAAAGATTTAACAATCTTTTTACAGTTCTTCAAAAACTAGGTCTTTGAATTCCTTGAAATTATTAATAAAATAATCACATCAAAGAGACAATCAAACCAAAAGTGATCTTTAGTTATAAGTTGAGCATGGTGGCCTGAGTCAGGTATCTTGGATACTCCAACAGTGAGATCACCCGGCCATAATGCCCAACTCCATTTCAGTCCTTCTGTGAATGTTGTGGTATTCTATTCCTTACCCACCATGTGCGTTACAGACTCTCCTGTTACATTGTTCCTAGTATAAAATAAATACACTTTCACCAGGGATTGTGGGAACCCCAGTGAAGGACATGGCAGGCTTGCAGTCCCAGTAACTCAGTGCAGACTTCTCCCTAAGTTCCCAAGGAATAGAAGGAACTATCAAGAGTCCAGCATCTACCAAACACTGAAATATCAATTTTGGGTGGGCTGAGTCTTCAGCCTGTCTACACTAAGGGGGTTATCCAGATGTTGGATGGGTTCAGTTGAGGTCCTTCAACTCAAGCATGTATGGCTGATTTCAGCCGATGTATGGCTGAAATCAGCCGTATTGAGCCGGAGTGAATAGCCGAACGTCGTTCGGCTCATTTTACTTTGGCTGGGTTATTCACTCGGCTGCCTTTTTGCAGCTTTGTGAATAACCCCCTAAGTTATTAATCTTATAGCCCACTCTGGAATCCATTATAAGGCAACCTTTTAGTATACCTCAACTCATTAAAAGTAAACATGCAATTAATTGCTTTGTAAATTGCTACTATTACATATCATAATTAAATATAATATGTTTTTCAGCCGCCTTCTCCTACAATGATGATGACAAGATTGTAGGGGGCTACACCTGCCCCACCAACACCGTCCCATACCAGGTGTCCTTAAATTCTGGATACCACTTCTGCGGGGGGTCCCTCATCAATGACGAGTGGGTGGTCTCTGCTGCTCACTGCTATAAGTCGTAAGTAAAGTTATTGGCTAGAGGGAATGGAAGGATTATCGATCAATAAGCATTTTGTGACCACAAATACCCTCCTCTCTTACAGACGTATTGAGGTCAGGCTCGGTGAACATAACATTGAGGTCCTGGAGGGAACAGAACAGTTCATCTCATCTGCTAAGATCATTCGTCATCCAAATTACAACTCCTATTATCTGGACAATGACATCATGCTTATTAAGCTGTCCAAGCCTGCGGTAATAAGCTCCAGGGTCCAGGCCATCCGTCTGCCCAGCCAGTGTGATGTGGCCGGCACTCAGTGTTTGATCTCCGGCTGGGGAAACACCCTAAGCAATGGATGTGAGTTCAAGCATGTTGTTCACATTAACACAGAAAAAGCTTAGCACTTTTTTCATTTTACTTCATTTTACTTCATTTTAATCTAAATAGAATGAGATATTAGATGCGATCTGGTTAGAGAAAACAAAAACAGTTTTCTGTAAGACATTTTTTGTAAAATAGCCTCACTGTACATCCTGTTGAGCTACCCACTGACTCCTGAATGTTCTCCTTTCTAGCTAATTACCCAGACCTCCTGCAGTGTCTTAACGCCCCTATCCTGTCTGATGAGGACTGCCAAGGCTCCTATCCTGGTCAAATCTCTGGAAACATGATCTGCCTGGGGTTCCTTGAAGGTGGCAAAGACTCTTGCCAGGTGGGTATTGTTTCTTCACCAAAGCGTGACCTCTGACAATTATCCTGTACAACAATATGTCTCTTGTTCAGGAGGGCACAATCTTTCTGGAGCAATATTTTAAGGCAAATCCATGTTTTTAAGACATCATTTGGTCTCCCACAATAGTGGCAAATTACCAAGGCACCCAATAGAACAAACTGACTCTTGGAATCTGGTCATAAACAAAGCCACAAAATGTGAGATTGTCTATGCTAGTTCTTCAAAGAACTTTATTTGATCTATGCTGTAGATTAGTGTTCCATTGCATGATGCCCCATGCAGAGAATATTAGTCTGCTTTCTAATTTGGAATGAGCAGTGCATACTCGTACTATCTGCTCATTGTGTGCTACCGACAGCTGTATTGGCATTAGCAAAATGGGAAGCAATCAACATGATACATCGTAGATATGGTGATCACATGTGTTTGTTTGCAAATAACTGCCCCTAATAGTGATAGCTGATGTAATATTTCTTTCTGCATGCTCTTACTATGCATAAAGAAAGAAATACTTCACCTTAAAAGGTC